TCATTCAGGAGTACAGGGTGCATCATAATTACTCATAAACATGCTAGTCACGTGTTTCTTCGAGTTTTTTTGCATGTTTCTTATATTAATAAGGATTTTGTTGTTTTGTTGACATTGGACATTTTTTGTTTTGTGTTTTGTCTCAACAGTTGCTGCCACCGGATTGGGCTACTGCCCATAAGGCTCGTTTTGTCCAAGACTGGTGCCGACAGAACTTTCCGGGCTTATCGCGTTTGATCAATGGTCCTCGAGAGCTCCTCGGATCTCAATCCGATGGATTTTTCGTCAACTCGATTGTTTGAAGGTTGGCGGAGCTCAGCAAACTCAATCAGGAAAATCGTAAAAGATTTGGGCCGATCCGACTGTGTCGTGCAAAATTATATGTCACGAACTTCAGTAGATCCATTAGTTCTCGTCAACTCCACGATGAATGCTGTGGCTTACAAGAACATTATGGAGACCCAAATGCTGCCTTTTGCCACACAGGCGATCTCTCCTGGATGGATGCTCTACCAGGACCAAAACACAAGTCAAGGCTCATGATGGGAACGGTGGTGACTCTTCGAAATGGTACACGAGCACGACTTCCGGACTGGTTTGCGTCGAAGGTCGAAGTCGAAGGCCGTGTGAAGAAGCCTGTGAAGAAGCTTGTGAAGAAGAAGAAGAAGAAGAAGTGTGTCTCTGTCTCTGTGAAGCTCTGTCCCTGTGAAGAAGCCAGAACCAAAACCAAAGCATACACCAAGAGCTAAACGCCATATTGTGAACAACATCCACGGAAAAACGATGAATGAAGTGGAAAACGAAGCTGAAAATCGACGCTTAAGTCGACAATTTGGTGAGAGCCGTCAAGGAAAACCCACAAACTGCCAAAAGCGGTTTTTAGTCCCGGCTTCCTACTTGCGTGTCACAGTAGATGCGTTCCCAAAACGTATGGATGCTTGCTGATGAAGATATTTTGAAATTTAAATTTTGTAATAGTTGCTATGTATCAAATGAATATTGTTATCGAAAAAAATTTTTGAAAATTTGATTTTAACGACTCGGAAAAATTTTCCACTTTGTTTCCGATGAGCGGGACAAATCAGACCTTTTTTTGCGCAGCCGGACATTTGCGCACTTTTTTCCGCACCCTGCCCATTAGCGCACCTTTTTCGCGTTTTAAAAAGCTTCAAAAGCCTAAAAAGCGCTAAAAAGCTAATATTAACCAATTTCTATTCCAAATGTTGTTTTTCTAGGTAATTTTGAGGGCGTCGAATTCAAATTTTGACATAACAGAGCGTGTGGAACCAATTTGAAAGACAAACAAACGGCAAAGACGGCTAGATCAAATTGCGCAAAATTAAGGTCGATTTTTCTCTTTGTATAACTCCGTCCGTTGTTTCCATGAAACTCCTGATATGTCAAATTTTCGATTCTACGCCCTCAAATTACCTAGGAAAATAGAAAAACAACTTTTGGAATAGAAATTGGTTAATCTTATCTTTTTAGAGCTTTTGGAACTACGCAACTTAACGCTTTTCGCAGTTTTTGCCTTTTAGCCCAAATTTGACGTGTCAGCGAGGTGTGATTTATTCGAAATTCGGAATCTACGCATACGATTCCCTTCTATGAAAACATTTTGGAAGCTCTACGACCTTTTCCTAAGGCCTTTTCCGGCAAAAAGGTCGCACTTGTCCCACTCCCATGATGAGTAATTATGACGCACGTGTCAAAATCAAAAATCCAAACCCTCTCTTTCATGTGCATTTTCTGGCGCATTCCCGGTGCTCTAAAACATCCTCCAGCTACTGTAGCTGCTGTTTAAATCTTCACATCATAAGTTTTTATAGTTTTTGAATTTTCTATCTATAAGTAGTCGATGTTACGGTAATTTTTATGACTAATTTTCTTATCTGGGTTACTGTAAATAGACTTACGGTCAGTTTCATATCCCTCTAATAGTCAGTAGTTGATGTAGTTTTATCATTAGTTGATGTAGTTTCATTAGTAGTTGATGTTACGATGCTATGACTTGGGCTACCATACACTTTTGTCATTTAGGGTAACCCACGGTGCCAAATATTTGGATTACTGTAAAGTGGATGAACTTGGCAATTCGCATTGCAACGGATACGGTAGCGGGTCATGCTATAGCTAATCGAGCTGACGCTCAAAGAGTCTCCAAGCTTCAGCAGCAATTACCTACAAAGTTTAGTGCATCAGAAGGGGAATCTCTGTTTGCCATTTCAACTCAAAATTTTCAAGTTAACAACATTCTAATCGTCGAAAATTCGATTTCGTCAATTTGTATTCGAAAAAAATTGCACAACTCCCTTTTTTCCGCATTCCCAGCGATAATCTCAAAATCGAGCGAAATATGTCGAGATTCTTTTCCCCGACAAAAAGCTAAAGAGCTCAAAGCTCTCCTCAATTCCCCAGGGTTCAATCGGGCTGATTCTCAAGCATGAGCATTCTTTCACTCTTCAACTTTTTCCAAGCTCAAATAGATCCATTTTCTAACACCCTAGAAAAACCAGGGGCAAGCTCTAGAGGAGAAGGATTAATGGGAAACGGGAGGGAGACTTGGGAGGACCCTCAGGGAGTCCCAGGGTCCCTGGAAGGACCTTCAGAGTCCCAGGGTCCCAGGAAGGACCTTCAGAGTCCCAGGGAGGACCCTCAGAGTCCCAGGGTCCTCATTGAACGCCTCTCCCCTCGGTCTCCCATTCCTCCCAAATTTGATTGACTTAGCTAACACCACTTGCGACAAGAGCTCTTAATGCACAGGGAACATTGTGTACTTGGAGATAAATGTATTTGAAGCGCCTGTAACTAAGCGTAGACTATATCCATTACTGTACAAGGAGCTTACGATAGCCGACGGAGCTTACGATAAGCCGAAGAAGCACGATAAGCCGAAGGAGCTTACGATACGCCGAAGGAGCTAACAATATTGCCGGGAAGGAGCTTACGATAACCCGAAGGAGCTTACGATACGCCGCAGGCTCTTACGATACGCCGAAGGAGCTTACGATAAGCCGAAGGAGCTTACGATACGCCGAAGGAGCACGATGTCGCCGAAGGAGCTTACGATAAGCCGACGGAGCCGCCTTCAGGTGTACTTGGGTTCATTTTCAATCAAGATCCATAAAGATTAAAGAGGATCCAGACCGATTTACGGTAACTGGCCATGCTTTAGGGTAGACTGGTGAGTTTTTTAGCGGTACTTGCTCAAACGTAAACACACCCTTCCCGACATACTGAATTTACCATTACAACAATGATTTACAATCTAAAGCAATGATTTACAATCTAAAGCAATGATTTTGGGTAAACAAAGAATCCAGTGCACTAGAAGGGTACGTTTACAAGACTTGAGCCCAAAGTACACTTCAAGGAAAAGGACTCTAGCGATTCTAGAATGAGAACTAGGGTTCTAGAATTCTAGAAACTAAAAACTAGGGTTCTAGAATTCTGGAATGGGAGCTAGGGTTCTAGAATTCTGGAATGAGAAACTAGGGTTCTAGAATTCTGGAATGAGAGCTAGGGTTCTAGAATTCTAGAATGAGAGCTAGGGTTCTAGCGAATTGTGGGAGCTAAAATTGGCTCCGTTTTTTCAAATTTTAAATTTCAAATCACCAATGGGTATTTTTCGATTGTATTCCATTCGCTCTTTCTCTTCTCCATTCACACAATTTCATCTCAAGAAGCCAAATCGGTGGCGCCGTCGCCAACACACGTACAACAGCACTGACGCACAGAACCTAGGTGGCTATTTGGTTGATTTTTGCTATTTTTGGTTACGCGAGGAAGGCATTTATGAAAATTTAGACTAAAATTTCTAGGGGGTGCTCAAAAATAAATTTTTGCCAAGCCAGGGCAGGCCTAGTTTTGCTGAAAACTGAACTGGCTCAGAAAAAGTGAATCGAACTTGGACCAGATAGTCTAGGTCCAACTCCAGATCAGGTCAGCTGTCCCACTGATTTGATCTAATCCCGTTTGGCTTCTAGGATACTATCGGAACTAGGTTTATCACAAAAACATCTGCCAATCCTTTTGCCGTTGACAATTTAAGGTTTTTCGTGTTTTTCTTAGCACCAATCCTTCGATTTTGACTACCGTATTTTCCATAAAAGTAGTGCACCCAAGCGAGCCGAGTTGATGCCTATTTTACGGTTTCCAAGTTTTCACGAAGCTCAACACTCTAATCACCCGCAAGATCTCATCGTCAGCTACATTTTTCGACCCAACATCGATACGTTCTGATAAGCCGTTTTCGAGATTTCCGAGCAATTTAGGCGACGCTTCCGGTGCACTACTATTAGGGAAAATCCGGTAGAAAAGGAACCAAATCTGTAGAGAAAAGGAAACAAATCTGTAGAGGAAAGGAAACAAATCTGTAGAGGAAAAGTAGAGAAAGGTATTTTGGTATCATTCGACGCGCAATTCTATTCTACATCGAATGATAGATTTGACACAAAAAATCGCGTTTGGAACAAGCCCAAAGTAGAGGGTTGAGCAAAAATTACTCGGATAACTTTCTAGAAAAGTTGTCGTTGGATAAGTGGCTGTCACCAAGCAGATTTCTCTACAGAGAATCAAGCTTGCGTGTCAAAATGTTATATAGAGAATTTAAAGTGTCAAGTGTTATATAGAGAATTATAGCCCTTAATCTTGGCTACATTTCTCTATGAAAAGCTTCCCAATCGAATGTATGCAACTCATTTGACAAACGCTTGAATGAGCACTAGTCGATCTCTGTCCGGCGCTGTGCCATTGTTTTCTTATAGTTCCTATTTGGTTCCTATTTGGTTCCTATTTCATATTTAGCTCCTATTTGGTTAATATTTGGTTCCTAATCGATCCACTTTCCAATCAGAATCAAAATGATCAAAATCGAAGGGTTGGTGCTGAGAAAAACACGAAAAAACCTTAAATTGCCTGGAGGGACTGGCTGATATTTTCGTTACAAGTCTAATCGAAACTGTTCAACAATCCATAGAACAATTATCTCAATTCCCTCACCACTTTCTCTCATCACCGGCTCTCATAATAATCGCATAGGATCCCTCAAAGATGATCAACAATGCGATCAGCGCAAAGATCCACACCGATTCACTCTCTGAAAGCAGTAATTGGTTAATTGGTTTAAAAAAGTCTCTAAAAAAGCTCTAAAAGCTCTAAAAGCATCGGAAAAGCTAGCGAAAAGATGCTTTTCTAAACTAACCTTGTACATGCACGGTTGTCCAAATAGTGACCACCGAGTGAACGATGAAGATGAGTCTCGCCAAAACGGCTCTTCCGATTCCAACCTGTAACGATTCTCTGATCCCTTACGAGCTTTAAAACATGACTCGTCTACCGTAATCGTCTACCGTAATTAATAGAGTACAGTAAGCCGTAAAGACTGACTAAAACATTAACTAGAAAAGACAGAATTCGTTTAAAATATCCGAACAGAGAAATCTTAACGATTGCGGTAGCTGAGATAAGCTTTATCAACTTATCCCGAGTCCACCATTCGTAAGAAGTTCTCAACTTTTGTTCTCAACTGTTCACCACATTTTTAAGCCAAATTCATAGACTTTCAGCTCACAAATTGCGAACTTTAAAACGTAACTCTACCGCATACAGATACGTCTACCGTACCAAATCAATAGATACTACAGTAGCCTGTTTATTGATACCGTAGCCGTGAAGGCTGGTTTAACTTATTGAATAAAGTACTTGCATATCTTTGCCCTGGAAAACAAAACAAGATAAATGTAAATTTCCCTCGGCATTTTCTCTAGTTTGGTAAAGATAGAGGAAAATCGTATAAATGACTTTATTATTAGGTTGGTGAATTGAAAACTGCGGGACTTTGAATTAAAATTTATTCAACATAAAACCATAAATTCATTCCAAATAATTTCCATTATTGTTGACGACTTCTGCCCATTTACAGGCAATTTGCGGATTCCTCTTTCGTAGTAGGATTTTGGTTTGTGTGTGAGACAGAGTGTGAGACTCAAAAAATGGAGGACTGGAGACTCAAAAATGGAGAATGTCTCTGTTTGAGCACTTTCTTCAAAAGAAACCCATTGGTGTCAATAGAAAAGTTGTAGAGAATCAAAAATTAGGCTTATAGCCAAATTTCCAAAAAGATACACTTAGTAGTTTCGCTTAAAATGTTTTGTGAAATGCAAGTTTTGTGAAAATTCGTAAATTTGGCATTTCTTGAAAACCAGTTTTTGAATCGTTCTGGAAATTTGGATATAAGCTTGATTTTTGATTCTCTACAACTTTTCCATTGACACCAAGATGGGTTTCTTTTGAAGAAAGTGCTCAAACTCTCACATATGACAATAGCCCGCAGTTTTCAATTCACCAACCCAATCAATTAAAAATAATAATTAAAAAAGTAATTAAACAAATTGGGTTTAATTTCATTTTACTTTAAATCAACTTAAAGGAATTTTCTCTTGAAATAATAAAATTCTGACGACAGATTCTTTTCGGACCGTCCACCGTACACTTTGCCTTTCAGACGTTTCCGCGCCAAACGTCGGGAACTACCGTAACCCGACGCAATAAAACGACCCCGCCACAAAGAATTTTTCAATCTTTCGTCGTGTTTATTTTTTTCAGTCTTTTTTTCCATTGACACCAAGATGGGTTTCTTTTGAAGAAAGTGCTCAAAGTGTCACATATGACAATAGCCGGCAGTTTTCAATTCACCAACCCAATAGATTGAGATTAACCTTGATTTGAGGAGAAGTCAATGTCCTATTTGAGGATTCGAAGCCGGCCAGATTCGTTTGGCAGAGGGAGAGAGGAAGGGGGGTTATGTAAAAGCCCTGCACCAGACGACGAGCGATTACGCGGCCGCACAAAGAATACACGGAATATACAAATTTTAAGCGGAACTATGAAGTGTATCTTTTTGGAAATTTGGATATAAGCCTTGATTTTTGCTCCTCTACAACTTTTCCATTGACACCAAAATGGGTTTCTTTTGAAGAAAGTGCTCAAACTATCACATATGACAATAGCCGGCAGTTTTCAATTCACCAACCCAATAGATTTAGATTCATTAATTCTAGCTTAAAAATTCTAGCTTAAAACCATATCAAAACTATAGGATAAAAAGATGTTAAAATTCAATGATAAACTAAGCTTTCAAAGATCAATTTGCATATGATTTAGGCTATCCAGCGAATCGTATTTCAATTGGTGCATTTTGTTGGTTTTAAACGAACGAAAGTACGAAAAGAAATCAAAAGACTTTCTGAAAAGGCTAATAACTAAATAGCAAAGATACGGAAATACCTTAAATACTTATAAACTAAAATTTTCACCCACCAGCACCCTCCCCGCATCGACATCGACGGGTCCCTGTACCACAGTGTTCCTCGGTTGCCCTGTTGCACCAATTTGTTGTTGTAGTTGTTGTCTTTTCCCGGTTGTTTCCACCCAATCACTTCCTCGTCCATATTCGAGTTGATGATTGTCCAATTGTCTGAAAAGGGTCCACATTTCGGCGTGGATTGATTGATCTTCTGAAAATCGGCTTTATATAGAGTTCAAAGTAAGCAATAAGGAAAATCCTATGAAGAAATGTACTCAATGGTACTTAGAGATATGATAGAATGGTACTTACAGCTAGAATGGTACTTACAGCTATGATAGAATGGTACTTACAGCTTACAGCTATGCTAGAATGGTACTTATAGCTATGGTGATATCAAAGTGATCCTTTCAATGTCAAATTTCAAGTTAAATAAACAAATTCAGTTACAGTTTTATAAAATTGAACAATTAAGTAAAAAGTTAGAAGTCTCTTGCTCTAAAAAGTGCAAAAAGATCTCGCGAATGTTGGAAGATTTTCGACAAAAGAAAGGGGGAAAAGGTGAGTGATGGGAGCATTCCCATCCCTCATCCAAAACACAGCCATCACTTGCGCTTCTCAAGAACATTTCCACGAAAAGCTACGTGATTTGGCAGCATTTTCGAATAGAGTCATAGATTCTAACACTCAAATTCTAACACTACAGCACAACTAATCCACTCAGGATAGAATTTTTGTAACTTTTATGATTCTAAATGTAATTCTTCAATGTGAGTGCTGTGCTGCTCAAATGTTGCGAAACCTTCCTGCTTTCAATTTCAAAAACGTCGCTTTTCACAAAACTAGTTATTTTTGGGTTACTAACATGCTTACAATTAGAACCTTACAATCTATTGGGTTGGCTTCTTGTCTACTAAAATTATAATGATAAATATAATTGGGTATTATAATGTCTCAAATGAGTATTTTTATTCGTTTAGAGTTTAAAATTATCAAAGGCTTTCAATCAAAAAGGCTCCAATTGACATCAATGTAAAAGCACGAAGAAGTAAAAGTAATGCCTTACCTTGATGCCTTGATAAAAATCGAGAATCTGCTCTAAATCCCTAAATCCCTAAAGTCATTGGCTCTAAATCCCTAATCTCTTAGCTCCCTAAGTCCTAAATCCCTAAAATCTCTTAGCTTACTAGTTCAAATAAAGTTAAACAAAGAAAAAGCTCCGACTTTACGTTTCTTTTTTTTAAAAACACACCGCACCTCACCAGGGAGTCGCGATGAAAAGTGCGATATGTGGGAGTGGATGGACGACGAGAGAAATGTGGAGAACCGAGGAGAGAAGTCGACGAAGTACGACGGTTTGATGAACATCTATTAGGTTGAGTACAAAGTCTTTCATCGAAATTCATTTTCTAATTGAGCTACCAAATGAAGCTACCATTTTCTCAAGCTACCAAATGAAACACGGGTTTTTAGATAGCCCAATAATTTCTCTTGCAAATGACTTTTGAAAGTTTTTGAAAAGCTTTGTTTTAAAGATTTTTCATTAGCAAAAAGCCGAGTGTTCAAAAATTCGATGATGCGATTTCGACCGTTTCTTCCAATGAAACCTATTTTAATGACAAAATAAAAAAGATAGCGCACAAAAAGTTAAATCTACAACCAAAATTTTAGAATAAACCATTTAGCGGTTTTCTTTATGTGCCCATTTTTCGATCTTTTTAAAAAAACCAATTTTCGTCATCGCAAATTATTCTAAAATACTAAAAATTGTTTTAAAATGACAAAAAGTAAATGATAAGTGTTTATAATGAAAGAAATTGTTTGGTATTTGGTAGTTTTTGGCTCGTTCATTTCGTTAATGCTTTTGTTAATGAAATGAACGGTGCAACACTTAGTACTCAACGAAATATCAGTAAAACAATTAACGACTACGCGACTGTACGCCCAAAAATGTCGTCATCGCGAATGTGTTAAAAGAAGTCAACTATAAGTTTCATCCTCATCCTACTCAACCTAATAATTGTGTGTTGGATAATATTGTAAAGAGCTGAATGTAAAGAGCTGATTGTAAAGATCTGTATATAAAGATTTGCACCCATATCCAGAGTAATGCGTATTCCATTGGCTATTGGCCATTGGTTTTCTAAAAATCACCAATTTTAGAAAACTACCATACTCAAATCGCCAGTTTCTATTCAATCAGCTCAATCTTGGTATCATTGACTGAGCCTTGCGATTCATGATATCAAAATTGGGCTGATTGAATGAACAAATCGCAGTTTGAGTACGGTAAAATGTTTTCTAAAATCATTTTTTATATAACACATTACTCTGTGATACTTATCCCAAAACCAACCTGCTATTCCTGCGCGCACCAATCGATTGCACATTCAGTAACATTTTGAAGAGAGTACTTCACTCTAACTAAACTGTTCTGGGGTATACTATATTCAAGTGCTGTACGAGAAGTATAATCTAGCAGCAGATACCGTAAGGACGTAGGTAGTGCTCAAATCTGTAAACGCACCTTTCTGGAGCACTGAATTCTTCATTTTTGCTGTTGCTGCAAAAATTAAGAATTCAGTGCTCCAGGAAAGGGTGAGTTCACAATTTTCAGCACAAAGAGTAATCTAAAGCATCTTCTAATCGCAAAACAAAGAAAAGAAAATTTTGCTTCAGAGATACTCGATGAAAAATGTTTATGGGACTTTGAAGCTGAAAGAAAAGGAGAAAAGAAAAAAGGAATGATCGAGTCGACCACTTCGATGTACTCAAAAAGAAACAAGAGAAATAAAAGAGAAATCCGCACTCAACTTGGCTTACACTTTGAAAAAGGATAACTTCGAATCACAAATGAACTTTTAGTTGTCCAAGGTACCTAAGGCAGTTGTCCAAGGCAAATTTTCAATTTAGATTAATTTTGTTCAATCAAGTCTATTGTTGATGTTTGATGCATGAATTTTATTATTAAATATGCACCGTTTTCCATTAATCGTGTCAGTGACTCCCAAATAAAATGTAATCAAAGCATCAAAAGTTCATTAAAAATCCAAGACAATAAAAAAACTCACCAAAAAAATGTTTATTCACTCAAAATCCAGCATATTTTCTCAGAATCCATCTTATTAGATTTGGTAGGCTGATCAACAAGATGAGACCAGACAAAGTGGCGATCGAGATAGCATAAACTAAATGAAAACAACAATAATCTAATAAACATTCAAAAATATACCTATGTATTTTGCTTTCTCCGCTCTCACGGGCATTTGTGGCACGTCGGTCGGCGGATAACTAAAAGATCTCAATAGAAGATAAATTTTTGCAAGCTTGTAATTCATAGGCATACTCATGGAGCAAGGTCAGACACTTACATTGCATGCAGCGGACCTCGGTACGGCGTGAATCGTTTAACCATATTTGACTCTTCTGAAAATCTTGAAGCGATCACGGTTGGGTGTCCAAAATATGTTTCACATCCGTCTATCTGAAGAAAGAACAATAGAATCTTAATAATGGTTTAAGGTCGTCTTGAAGTTGATTGCTCAAACTTAACTCAAAGCTAGTCAACCAATTTTATAGCTGGAATCAAAACTTTTCTGTTCTAGCCGTTTTATAAAAAATTACCAGTCTGCGTAAGATCAAGGTTGCATTGGAGACTCCGGCATACTCGTGCGTGTACATGAGCGGTGAAAAGTGGGCAGGCAACGCTTGTCTACCGTATCTAAAGAAGAACAATACTTCAATAATGAACCACAATTGTAAACTTGTCGATTATCTAGTTCTTATCGATATAAAGGTTTACACATTGTAACCTAGAACTCACCCTTCTAGATAATTGCCTTCAAAAAGCGCTTCTAAATCAATGAGTTGCATGTTGGCCGCCGCAAAGCCGACCACGTTTCGATTTGAGACCATCAGGAAAACTTTCTAAACCGTAATGATGATTGGTTGATGTCTATACGTTTTGTGGTCTAAAGCCCATAGATGCTGACTGAATGCTTTAGGTTTAAAGGTAAAAGCTTGACCCTATTCTTCACGTAAACATTGAATTGAGCTTCGTAAAAGTTGGGCACAGCTTTGATCGAGATGGCAGCCTTCGTATCAATGAACTAAAACAAATCGCGTACGATAGGCAAATGTAGGTAAACAGATAACCCCACAAATTCTAAGCTCATTATTCCAAAATATTAAACTAACCTTTATAACGGGCACGCCAACGCTATCCAGTTTTTCGATATGCACCCAAAACACGCGATATTCGTGCACATCAAGCACCACCACGAACACGTATTCCTCGTACTAAACAAAAAAAGATTATCAATTGTAAAGCTGCTTATCAAAAGTAGATAGCCACTTTTACTATGATTCTTAGACAATTTCCAAGCAAACTCACCGAAAAAGACTGCTGATACGCAATTTACGAGTGAAACATCGCATCTCTACGCTATCGTTGGCTTCCTGTAAATGAAAAAATTGTTTCTAAGAAAAGAAATGAATTTTTAGAACTCCATAAATTTTTTCCAATCTAATGTTTACAAGTTTGTTACAAAAAAACCGCACCTTTGGACATCCAGCTAAGCGTGAATGCTCATCCTTGTGCACTTCTTCGATTGACGGCGAGAAAACGGATCGGAAATCTAGCATATTCGCCTTCACGTAGCGGATGTCGCCAATTCTAAACATGAAAAAAACAATGGCACTCCGAAAACCTTTTTTATAAGATGTTTGGAGCAAAACAAACAACATTTCTTCAACAAACAACAACAAACAACAAACTTACTTCAGCATGTGTGATCCAAGTTCAGAGTGATCGACCAGATCGGTGTGAATCTTGGTAAGGAAAAAACCTAAAAGTAACAAGGTTTTTTAAAACTATAAGTTTAATCTATGAATAATTCTATAAGATATAGAATTATTCATAGTTTCAATGCACCTCCAGACGATCGTTCATGGTACGCACAGCAATTCGGGTTCTTTTCCTCTGTTTTTTTGTTAGATCAAACTAAAAAAAAATTTTGTTCGAGGACAAAGATAAAAACTGACCACCACCGTGTAGAACAACCGCAATCCTCGGCAAGAAGCGGCATTGTCTGCTATAAGCGATTCATCCGCGCCTTGTTTCTCGTAAAGGAACGTTGAAGCCTGAAATTAAAAATACTTGCAAAACAACATAGATGCAAAATATAACATAGAACATAGACGGTTCTACTCTAATTATATAACAGCTAAAACTAACCTCTTCAGCGCGCTCCACTGTCGTTTCATAGAAGTAGCATCCCTCAGTGATCCCCATGACTAAACAAATGAATTTAAGAAGTTAGCGTACTATGAATGGGCTAAGAAATTGAATCTTTCAAAAAATACTTGAAACGCTCGCCTTAAGAGCCGCGTTGTCGTGGATTCCGATGATGCATTTGTGGAGATCGCCGCTCTGAAAAAAAAGAAGTTAGATCAGAGATTACGCATAAAATACAATAAAATGCTTTACAATAAAACTAAAGTTATCTTTACAATAAAATTTTGTTTTTCTTTTCTACAGGGTGCGGCAGGATTATCGCAATCAATATTTTTTAAGGATAGAAACCGATAGAGAAATCAAATCAAAAACTTTAACAATTGAACAAGAATAACTACTTTCTTTATCTCTATGAGAAGAAATGCAGGCCTGGTGGAAAGGCAGGAAATGCATCCACTGTGGCCAAATGGTAAGCGGGATCGAGTTTATCAATTGCTTTTTGAAGAGATTTCTTAATCGAATCGATGCTGGAATGCGGTTTTGAGCACGTTTTTGCTTCAAGAACTTTCCAAACACTGAAATCCATCGGATTAAGATCGGGACTTGACGGTGGCGACTAAACGTGACCAAATCGGGAAAATACTGTTTGCGCCAGTCCTGAACCACTCGAGCCTTGTGAGCATAAGCATCATCCTGCATAAAACACCAAATTCTGTTGCCAAAGTGTCGCTAAATCCTGTTTTTGGGTCAGGGAAAAAGATCTTTCTAAAGTATGTCGAGATAAGTTGTTGGAGCTAACATGCCCTGAGACGGTCGCAAAAATCCTGCCGCATCCTGTACACTCGGGAAAGCATGGCTCTTATCGGGAAAGCATGGCTCTATTCAAAACGGAAGATCTTTCTTAAATATTTCGAGAGCCATCGGATTAAGATCGGGACTTGAGGGTGGGTAAATTTGTAATGAGCAGTTGCTCTTGAAAGTTTTTATCAAAGCACAGATTATAGCGACTAATTCGTGTTTCTTTTGAGTAGGTAAACAATTATTATAGACTTCGAAAGCTGTACGACAGTTTTTATACGTTTTGGATGCATTAATCGGAGCACATGCTATGCAAGAACAGTGAGATTCACCAGAATTGTTCCAAATTCAAAGTCTACAAGACAGTTGCTCGCAAAGACCTCGCACTAGATGCTTATTGATCTAATATTAGGCTCAAAAGGCGATCCGGTATCCCTGATTTGACATTAAACCTGTCAGATCAATGGACCAAAGTGAACTTTGGCTTTGGAAAACTTTGGAATAGCGATAGTTCAACGCAAATGTTAGAGATTTGTGACAGATGACTAAAAACAAGAGAAAAATGAGAAAACCGCTCACCTGTAAGGTATCAGACATCAATTTCGCGTAACCAATCGACATCAGCGTCAAGAAGAAAGAGAATATCATTGAAGAAGTGAAGATAAGAACTGGTTGCAGAGTTGAGATAAGAATGATGCAAAAAAAAATTGGCGAGGAAAATGACTTTATTCTTAAATGCAGATTTGACGGAAAACTGTTTTAAATGCAAATTTACACATCTCATAGCATCAAATTACGCAGCTAATGTACATTAGTAAATTACGCAGCTAATGTACAGCAGCTAATGTACAGCAGCTAATGTACATTAGTGGTTCCAATACGGTTCCAATACGGTTCGTATTTTGATCTAATACGGTTCCAATACGTTTCCAATACGTTTCCAATACGGTTCCAATAAGGTTCGTATTCCAATAAGGTTCGTATTCGTAAACAATGCAGCTAATGTACATTAGCTGCATTGTTTAGCTGCAAATTTTATCTGCCTTGTTTTTCTTGTTGCTTTCTTAACAGTTTTTCAAATCATTTATTCATCTTTTATATCCAATTCATCTAAAATAAGCTTAAGCTGAAAATTCGGAAACTTTTCTTGCAAATCCCGAATTTTCTTAGCAAAATCGGCCGGATCTTTAGCACTTTTTAAACGCTTTTCCACCAATTTCATCAATGCTTTCGGGATATAAACAAGATTTTCGAGAATCTTTTCGAAAATCCCAAAAATTCCTTATCATCGCAATGGGCGAAGAGCTTTGTGCAGAATTGACCGTGCCTTGCGAGATTTTCGGCCATCAATGCGAAGAGTTGGGGTGGAAGGCTGCGAAGGAGATGGTGTCTGAAATTTGATTCAAAATATTTAAAGACTTGATTGTGCTTGTGGAAGACATGTAAAGCGTACTTTGTATCCATGTAAACACCCGTTTTCTGGTGCATCAACTTCTTCATTTTTCTCGCGACACCAAAGCGTTGTCGTGAGAAAAATGGGGAAATCAGTGCACCAGAAAGGAAACTTTATCGATTCGACGAAGTTCACTTGCTCTAAAGTTCACTTAACTCCCTCTGGAATAAGGGATTTGAAGTGCGTTGTGGTGTAATGGTTAGCACAGTTGCCTGGTAAGCGAAAGGTCGTGGATTCGAGTCCCAGCGGTGTCTGAGTTTTTTGATCTGCCCTAGTTCCAACTGTTCGCCAACGGAGTTCATTATTTTGGCTTTACAATCAGATACCTAATTTGAAAATGGATTTTAGATGTTAACACTGATTGAGTACAGATCAAGCTTTGGTCCTTTGATTGGACAAAGACAAATTGAGCCAGTTCCAGTTCTGATTGGGCCATTTCTTACAAGGGAAAAGGCGCCAAGCTGCCTTTGACTCGAGACCAAGTCCATCTTATAAAGTCGGTCATGAGGATGCCGATTCGTTCTTAGTTTTTACAGAACACTTCGCAAACGCGGGATATTTCGCATAGAAAATCATCTTGAATTTCGAGCTCCTTATGAGGTCGTCGGCTTCCCCAATAACTGATTGGGTGGCCTAGTGGATAGTCTGCTAGACTACAGAACCTGTTACATTTTTGCCCTCAAGTTCGAGTCCCGTGGCCAACTTTTTGAGATGGACTTTGAGATGGACTTTGAGATGGACTTGGAGATGGAGTCCCGACTCAAAAAGCCGGCTTGACCCGGTCCCTTCCCTTGCCTAGGTCTGGCAGAGTTGAACCTGAGTCTGCTTGAACAGGAAAGCCTACTCGGAAAACTCAGTTTGGAAATGCTAGATTGCTAGACCATGCTAGATTCAAACTTAAACTCTAATTCAATTCCAGATTCATATTCAAGCTTAAAGTCTTATAGCTAGGCTAGGCTAGGCCACCACAAAAAAAAAATCGATTTAAACCTTTTAGATCCGATACAAGATTTCTCCTACCTGATCTCTTTCTGAAGCCCATTCGAGCATCGATAAACATAAATTATCGTCAACAATTCCAAATAGATTTCATTATTCTGAAAACATTTTTCAATTCATTTTCCAAATCATTTTCTTGATTAACCTTTTCTTCTTCGTTTAGTTTTCGCAAAAACTCTTTTATCAGCTCTCCAGCATATGGCTGAATCTTCAATCGAATGTCAAGAATCGACCACCAGAGAATGAAAAATTTAGGCCAAGCATCTAGCTTATTTAGAGAATTCAGAATCTAAAATGGTAATTGGAGAAAAGATTGATTTTTTTAAACTTTGTGATCCATTTTGAATTGTTGAAAGAACGAGACGATCATCTTCGCAATCAAATCAGGCGATTCTCGTCTCCATTGATCGGGCATTGAAAGGAGTAACTATAGAAGTAAAAATGGTAATTTGGACTACGATTACTGTTTGTTTTCTAAAACATGTCTCCTTTTCAACTACTGTAATCCTGGCTCTAGCTTTATTCAATCTGTCAATCAATTCAATTCAATTTTTTGTATATTTTGATAGCCTTCGTGAAACCTCACAGACAAGGAATGCTTTAAAGAATGCTGTAGATCTGATCTACCGTAATCTTCAGGTATGCTGATCTACCGTAATCTTCAGGTATGCTGATCTACCGTAATCTTCAGGCCATAGGACTCCTAGAATTGGCTTACAAACCATAGAATTTGTAAGCTCACTCAGCTCACTATCAGGTTGGAGTCCGGCCAGAAGCCAAGTTCAGTTTTCTGTGAATCAGGAGTAAAGACAGTTCAAAAACCTGAAGTAAAGCCAGATCTTGGCTTGGCCCTAGTCAACTACCGTAATCTTGTCTCCAGTTTTTATCCAATCTGGGGTAGGCTAATTTCCGCAACTTCTTTGCGCAACTGGGTCGCAACAGATCGTTTGCGCAACTGGGTCATTTGCGCAACTGAATCGTTTGCGCAACTCGTCATAACTTTCTTCTAAGTGGGTCAATCTTTATGATTTTGGTTTCATTTTGTAGATCTCAATAAGTGCAACAAAATGACACCAAAAACATAAAGATCGGTCCACTTAGAAGAAAGTTATGGCGAGTTGCGCAGATGGCCCAGTTGCGCAAGTAACCCCGTTGCGCAAAAAAGTTGCGGAAACTACCCCTCCAATCTATGTAATTTTTCATTTTTGATGTAAATCCGATAGAATCAGACAAAAAGTAGATAGATTGAATAAAATTAGAAACAAAATTATGGCCGTTTTCGAAAACGAATTGATTTCGAAAACAGCTGACGGTTTGGCGAGAAGTCCGACGGAGAGAGATTTGAATATTTCCCTGGATCGGCTTAATGCTGGTTAGCTTTTTTTAAAAGACACCTATTTTAGAAAGCTACCATAGTGCCTTTAAACTTTAATTTAAAAAATTATCACAAATTTTCTAGGCAAACCCCAGTGCCCAGTCAATCTAAACACCCTGGTGATTCCAAGAAAGAAACCCAACCAAAAAGACAAAGATTTCAGTCGAAAACCCTATGTGAGTTAAATAATTTAATTAATTAATTGATTGATAGGATCTCACCTGTCCATAAAAATCCACAAATTTCAAATTGATCTCCTCGGAAAGATTCAACACTTCAGTACCAAATGCGAATTTTGCCAAGCTTTCAAAAGTAATGTGTTGAACCTGGAATACTGTAAACTAGGCAACGTGCTGCAATTGGGCAATTCGATTGTTAATGTTTTTTTGGAGTTTATGAGTTAAAAACGTCTAGAACGTTTAGACGTTGAAAAACGTCTAGAATCGTCGCTTTAAAGTCTGGCTGGCTACCGTAATCCGTAGTTTATAGTTTGTAATCCGTAGTTTATAGTTTGTAATCCGTAGTTTGTAATCCGTAGTTTGTAATCCGTAGTTCGTAGTTCGTAATCCGTAAAGACGCTACCGTAACTCACGAAATTAAGACAATGCAGTAATGCAAAGATTAAATCAGCCTACCTGTGTCCTAACTACCGTAACCCTCTGGTAACTGAATGGTAGACTTCGGAAAACAAAACTTAACCAAAACCAAAACAAACCAAAACCAAAACTACCAAAACCAAAACCAAAACCATAACAAAACCAAAACAAACCAAAACCAAAACCAAAACTAACCAAAACTCGCCAATATCTCGCGACTGGGAGGAGCTAGCGAAAATCTGTTTGCAGATTTGAAATCAGCATCCAAAAATCTATCCCATAGGCTATTTTTTGTTTCGAAATTTCGAGGTCGTGTTTTGGTCCTTTTTTCAGCCGCGAGATTTTGTGGAGTGAGAAAAAGTGAATGGCTAATTTGCATTTTACATTAAAATTTGCATTTTACAATTTTAAATTTACATTTAAATTTATATGCAAATTGAGTTTTGGTTTGTTTTGGTTTTGGTTTGTTTTGGTGTTTTGGTTTTGGTTTTGGTCTGTTTTGGTTTTGGTTTTGGTTTTGGTTTTGGTTTTGGTTTTGGTTTTGGTCTGTTTTGGTGTTTTGGTCTGTTTTGGTTTTGGTTTTGGTCTGTTTTGGTTTTGGTTTTGTTTGCCGAAGTCTACTGTAAACTATCTAATTTTCTAAATACAACCTCCTCTTCCTCGCACTTCAACAACTTTGTGAACATTGGGAAAATTTCATCAGATAATAACTGAAACAAGAGAATTTGTTGGGAATTTTGTTGGAAATTGTTGGAAATTTTAAAACTGACCGGTAACGCTTGAAAAAGTGAATGGATGAATGGATTGAGTGAAGTTTCCTCGAGAAAATGGGATCCAGGTAGGCCGAGAAGGCTTGATAGAGCCCATTTTCTAAAAGTTCTCAAATATTTGGGAAAACTAACGTAATCCCAATGCTAGTTTCGATTCAATCAACTCAATTTTGATTTCATTATGCCTTGTGGACTGAGCCTTGTGATTTTTGATATCAAAATTGAGCTGATTGAATGAAAACAATTGAATTACGATAGTTTTCTAAAATAAATCGTATTTCCTCTAATAAAAGCCTCGCTCTAATAAACTCTCAAGTACGAAAATTTACAAAAAACATTCCGTAAATACTGTAATAGTACCCCACCCCCATAATGACGGTGCGGAGTGTTGTGTAGTCTAGCTTTGAACGAGTTTTTCTCAACACTGGTTTAGGCTAAAATGTGCCAGCAGCCAGCTCTCAAAGTGTATGTCATTATTGCTGCGGTTAAAAAGCTCGTAGTTGGATCTGAGCCTTTGGATACGGTTCACCTCTGTGTGATACTGGATCCGGGGTTAAATTCGTCGGTTCTCCCGGCGAGAGTTACTCTGAATAAATCAGAGTGCTCAAAACAAGCGTTTCGCTTGAATGTTTTTGCATGGAATAATGGAAAAGGACTTCGGTTCCTTACTGTTGGTTTCCGGAATTGGATTAATGATTAAGAGGGATTAATGATTAAGAGGGACCAATGATTAATGAGCCCATTTTCTAAAGGTTCTCAAATGTTTGAGAAAACTAACGTCATTCCAATGCTAGTTTCCATTCAATCAACTCAATTTTGATTTCATTGATTGAGCCTTGTCGTTTTTGATATCAAAATTGAGCTGATTGAATGAAAACAATTGAATTACGATAGTTTTCTAAAATATCATCTTTACTCTAATAAAAAGCCTCCCTCTAATAAACTCTCAAGTACGAAAATTTACAAACAACATAGGAATAACGACTGAGGGGTGGGGACAAATGCGACCTTTTTTGCTGGAAAAGGCCTTAGGAAAAGTCGTAGAGCTTCAAAAACGTTTTCATAGAAGGGAATCGTATGCGTAGATTCAGAATTTCGACAAATCAGATCTCGCTGACACGTCAAATTTGGGCTAAAAGGCAAAAACTACGCAACTTAACGCTTTTCCGCAGTTTTTGCCTTTTAGCCCAAATTTGACGTGTCAGCGAGGTCTGATTTGTCGAAATTCTGAATCTACGCATACGATTCCCTGATATGGAAATATTTTCGAAGCTCTACGGCCTTGCCTAAGGCCTTTTCCAGCAAAAAAAAGGTGCGCAAATGTCCGGGTGCGCAAAAAAAAGGTCGCATTTGTCCCACCCCCAACGACTGATACTTTAAAATTATACTCCCACACACAATTTGTCGTACATCAATTCAAATAAACTCCCACAAAATTTATTTTAAGAAATTTTTACGGTTCAACACGAACAAGGCAGCCATTGTGTATGAATTTCCTCCAAAAATCCAATTGTAAAGCTTTCTTTGGGGTAGGCTAGTTTCCGCAACTGGATCGTTTGCGCAACTCGCCGTAACTTTCTTCTAAGTCGGCCAATCTTTATGATTTTGGTTTTATTTTGTAGATCTCAACAAGTGCAACAAAATGAAACCAAAATCATAAAGATTGACCGACTTAGAAGAAAGTTATGGCAATTTGCGCAAATGACCCAGTTGCGCAAGTAACCCCGTTGCGCAAAAAAGTTGCGGAAATTAGCCTACCGCCTTTCTTTTACGATTTCGGTTCACAAAAAGTTCCAGAGCTCCACTATTGCGTCCAGGTGTAGATAAAACAAAATATCGTAACGAAATGAAGCACTGCTTGGAAGCTTGCACTGCGCATTTATGCAAATGTTAGTTATTCCAACTGAAAGGCAAATTAAATTGCAAATTTTTGTGGGGCTCTATTTGAATTGATGCACCTGCAATGGATGTTTATCTTGAATAGATTGCTTCGTCTTGGGAAAAACTATCTTCAGAAATTATTTTCGAGGCATTTAAAATCTGCGGAGCAGGAAGTGATCACGATAGAAAAGAAGAGCATCTTATTCACTGCACAATGGAAAAGAAGAGCATCTTATTCACCGCTCAGATAGCCCGATATCTTCTGGATTTAAAGCAGAGTGCCCGATTGGATAAAGAAATCGCTGAAATTTTAGTCCCAAGCATCGAATCAGCAATTTTCAAATGAGCAAATCAGCAATCAGCAATTTCGTGAGCTCAGACAAGAGGCTGAATACGGAAATCAATTGTTTGAAATGCTGTTTTTCTTGCATTTTAGTTTCTGCTAATTTTTGTTGTTGAAATATATAATTCGATAAAAGTGACTTATGATACTGAATGCCTTATTTGCAATACTATTATTTTTTATCGTGGAATCAGCATCAATTATTAGGCATCATGTACCTAAGTACTGCCTGCAGAGGGATATAAACGCTCCAAGGCGGCCCAAGGTATAACGCCCCAAGGCTTTGATGAGAGTAAATACGATAGGTGTCTTTTTTAGAAGATGGATTAGCCGAGAGGAAGGCCAGACATGCAACTGAAACCCAGTTTTAGCTGGCATATTGTAGCCAGACATGCAACTGAAACCATACTACTGTAGGCAGACTCACCGATCCTCCAGAGTCGCCTCCTCATCGGCGAAACGATCAAAATCGATTCTCGTTGTCCCATCCAATGGACGACTCCAACTTTGACTCAAAAACAACGCCGTCTCGTCAACTGGCTTGGAAATCTTGAAAAATGGATTACTTGTAGTGAACCAAGCTTCACAAGAATACAGCAGACAAACTTGTCAACAACCATGAAGATAGAAGACTCCAAAGTACTTAAGAGTGCTTATTTGAAATCAAAACTCTAAGTACTATAGATAGAAATCAATATTTTCAGCTTGTAGACAAAATTTCAAAGCAATTCCCCAAGAAACAGCCAAGAAACAGCCAAGAAAACGAAGGTAGAATTAGATTCGGGCTGGAAGGCTTCCCATCTCCAGTAAGTACCTGCTGAGTTCTTTGTGATGTCTCCAAGATTTGTCTTGCTTGTTGAGAAACATCTTCGAGGTAATTCTTGAAGAGATGAGTCTCTGCGAACTTCTGCGCAATCGAATACGCTGCTCTAGAATGACAATGCTCTAGAAAAGTCTATACAGTGCGTTTCACATCAAGTGCTCCGCCCAAGAAAAGTGCTGTATCTTATGTTAGATGCATTTTAAAGCTCTAGTTCTTTTTCTATTAAACAGAGCACGTTTAAATACCTTAGTAAACACGAACTTGCATCGTTATTGTCGGATTTTGACAATTTTACTACCGTTTTTCAGCCCTTATCGAGAGCTACAAAATGGAATCAAAATGCAATAGGTCCAAAAATAAGGAAATCGTCCGATTGTATGTTACGTCTGATCTAGATTGATTCTAAATCGGTCGTCTGCTCTAGAGTGAAGTGAGGTTAAACGTCCGATCTAGAATCACGGATCTAGAATCACGGATCTAGAATCACGGATCTAGAATCACGGATCTAGAATCACGGATCTAGAACCACGGATCTAGAATCACGGATCTAGAAGCACGGATCTAGAATCACGGATCTAGAATCACGGATCTAGAATCACGGATCTAGAATCACGGATCTAGAATCACGGATCTAGAATCACGGATCTAGAATCACCAATCTAGAGTCACCGATCTAGAGTCACCGATCTAGAGTCACCGATCTAGAGTCACCGATCTAGAGTCACCGATCTAGAGTCACCGATCTAGAGTCACCGATCTAGAGTCAACCATCTAGTGTCACCGATCTAGAGTCAACGATCTAGAGTCACCGATCTAGAGTCACCGATCTAGAGTCACCGATCTAGAGTCACCGATCTAGAATCAAGCCGATCACTCTAAATCAGACATCCAATCCAGACTTAGATTTAGAGTGATCGGCTTGATTCTAGATTGACGTTTGACCTCATTTCACTCTAGATCGGAGGGATTTCTAGATTAGGATTCTAGATCGGATTCTAGATCGAACGTTTGACCTCATTTCACTCTAGATTGGACGCACTTCAAGATTAGACGGATTTCTAGATTAAACATAACATATACAAATTTACATCCATCAAATTTTTGAAATCCAAACCTTTGCATCATTCTCTTTTCGGTGTGACTCATCACCGAGTTCACATTTCGTCGACCAGCCCAATATCTGAGATTACGATAGGAAGGATATTTATTCGAAAGCTTTGTCTCAACCAGTAGTCTTCTTTATGCTCAAATTTGTAAACCCACCCTTTCTGGTGCTGACAAATCGTTGCTTCAAGAAAACGAAAGAAACTACTGCACCAGATTGGGTGCTTTAACAAGTTTGAGTACAAAAAACACACAATAACAACTCTAACGACTCACCCACCTAGCCACCGTGAAATCCAACTCTCGTCCACAATTCTCCTCAAATCTCTCCAAAAGAAACATCCTTAGATAAACAAAATTATCCGGATTCATCTTTTTTAAAGGTTTTTAGATAATAAATAAAATAGCTAACAAGCAAAATATAACGACTAAATAGCAAGAATAGCAAAAAAAACTTTTGCCTGGCCTCGTTTCCATGGTAACCACGGTTTTCATGTTGTTTTCAATTGTTTTCAATTGTTTTCAAGTTGTTTTCAAGTTGTTTTCCAGAAAGTGCACGAGTTTTGAGTCAAAAATTGAGCAAAGCCACATAAAAAGCATATAAAATAAGCGAGTTTCAATTTTTCCACATTTGACTTCTCGAAATCTGAATCGATTTTATCTTTAGCAGCAGTCCAGCAGTCAAATACTGGCTCAATTATTGGCTTTATTCACCGCTTCTGTGCCATTTGAAGTGCCTTATTGGAGAAGCTAGAGTGGTGGCTCATTTCATTTGATTTGATTCGCATTCTAATTTGATTCTCATCACTGTTTTTTTATTGTTCTCCCTAGCTTGTCGTATGATTGATACTGTCAGCCTAAAAGTTGTATATGTCGTAGCCGATTTGTTATTTCAGCCGATTTGTTATTTCAGCCGATTTGTTATTTCAGCCGATTTGTTATTTCAGCCGATTTGTTATTTCAGCCGATTTGTTATTTCAGCCGATTTGCTATGAAAGCATATCGGCTAGCCAATTTGCCAATTAGATTTTCTCGAAGTTTGTTTCAATTTTTTGAGGATCTACTTTCAATTTCTTTGTTAAACTTTGCCCAGAGGGCGAGTTGAAGCAGGGGACCTCAAAGAAGGGAATTGTCATCAAGCCGATTGACAGAGCGATTGACGGGAGCAGAACGAGCGATGTCAAGTCGATCTCATTGATCTACAATCCGTTTCCGATGGTCATCAAGCCGATTGACACACAGGAGCAGAACGAGCGATGTCAAGTCGATCTCATTGATCTACAATCCGTTCCCGATGGTGATTACAAGTTTCTTATGTTATATTGGGATCGTTTAACGAAGTTTACCATTTTGAAAGATGAAAGATTAAAAAGATCTGATTGAAATGACCAGCGTCAAAAGCTTACATTTGGCGCTGAAGCTGACCGCTGAAGCTGAAGCGTCAAAAGCTTACAATTTCCGCCATCACATAATCCGTTTGTCCTGTTCACAGCGATGTGCTTAAGAATTGAATAAAAAGAAATGATTTTGATGATCAGCATCAAGCAAAGAATTGAAATAAAAGTGAAAAAACCATGAAATTTCTCTGCAGAAAGCGCTAATTTTGTTAATTTCGATTCTTATTGCCATCCTATCTTTGTTTTCAATAAATAAATGAAGAATATGAGGAATATGGGCCAAATGAGGAATATGTGCCATAAAGAGACATTTTCTGAAGTCTATTTGAATAAAGAAAAGCTGATTGGTTTGTCTTGAGAGTTGGGAGACGAGCCGACAATAGTCCTACTCTACAATAGCCGACAATAGTCCTACTCTACAATAATCGACAATAGTCCTCCTAATTCTTTTGACATAAACTCCACTCGGAGAAATCATCGCTGAATAAAGAAATCAATTTCATTGCTTTAAATCTTTTCAAATTCTTGACTGCTCAATTTAAACCATCAAATTCATCTCTGTTACACTTCAGACTTTGACTGTAGTCTTTGATTGTAGTCTTGACTGTAGCCTTTGACTGTAGCTTGACTCAGCCTTGACTGTAGTCTTTGACTGTAGCCTTGACTGTAGCCTTGACTGTAGTCTTTGATTGTAGTCTTTGACTGTATCCTGTTTCTAAGAATTTCTGATTGACGCTTCTGGGTTTTGGGTTTATTATCCGAAGTTGACTCTATGTGAAGCATATCGGGGTGGAGCAGACGGAGGATTCCATATAAAGGTTGAGCTATAAAAGAGATGAATCTGAAAGTGCGGCAGGATTGATGGTACGGGGTGCGGCAGGATTGATTAATGCAGGATTGCAACTGCCTCAGGGAATCAATGTTAGTTCCAACAACTATCTCGACATATTTAAGAAAGATCTTTTTCCGTGACCCAAAAACAGGATTTGGCGACACTTTGGCAACAGAATTTGGTGTTTTATGCAGGATGATGCTTATGCTCACAAGGCTCGAGTGGTGCAGGACTGGCGCAAGCAGTATTTTCCCGATTTGGTCACCTTTAGTTGCCACTCTCAAGTTCCGATCTTAATCCGATGGATTTCAGTATTTGGAAAGTTCTTGAAGCAAAAACGTGCTCAAAACCGCATTCCAGCATCGATTCGATTAAGAAATCTCTTCAAAAAGCTCGATAAACCAAACTCGATCAAGAAACTCGATCCCATTTACCATTTGGCTACTATGGATGCATTTTCCAAGAGTTATCAAACATTTGATACGTGCCCCGTCCCTTTTGCCATTATCAATCTAACTTTAAACTCAAATGTCTTGGTGTTGAGCTGTTCAATTTAAATAGTTTTTGTACCAATCGACAGAGAAAGTCTTGGCGCATCTAATGATACCAAGAATATTTCAATTGGACAGCCCAACACCAAGATATTTGAGCTCAAAGTTAGACTGCCAATGGCAAGGCGGCAGCATATCCAATGTCTCACCGATCTTTCTCAAATCTCATCAGGCCTGCATTTCTATCAATAGAGATAAAGAAAGTGGTTTTTCTTGTTTAATAGATCTTTAAAAATCAATTCTTAAAGTTTTTGAGTTGATTTCTTTATCGTTTTCTTTTCTTAATATTCGTTGCAATAATTCTGCCGCATTCTGTAGACCAGTTTTCGTTTCGGAAGACCCAGTTGCATTCTAAAATGTGCCCCAATTTATTTGACGGCCGCGTGCGAGGGCCTCGGCGGCATATTGGATGCAAAGAGGGCTGGCATTGTGCCAAAGGGGTAAAGGATGGACGCGGGTCTCTTTTAGCGGATGGAGGAGACAGAAGAGCCCTTCCTTTGCCTGAACCCTGGACCCCTGGACCCCTAGGGCCAACCCTACCCCAATCCATCCCATTTATTCCCCTTTCAGCTAAATGATTGCCTTTTTGAGCAATTCTTTGGTCCATTACCCCACAAAAACCCTTAAATCCTTAATATTTTGTGTTCCATTTGTTCTTAAAATATCTGGTTTCGTTTTTCGTACGAATTCCAGGGGATTTCAGCTTTCGTTTTTTCAAGAGAATATTTTACATTTTACATTGAAATGCTTCGTTTACAGATCGGTGACGTCATGGCCCTATCGCCACTATGAGCAGGGAACGAGGTTTGAGTTTGAAAAGTGATTCTTAGTCATAAAATAGCCTTTACTTGAAAAATTTTCGGTTAAGCCTTTCGGTTAAACATTTCGGTTAAACCTTTTGGTTAAACCTTTCTGTTAAACATATCCCGATCATCGGTTGATGTTTTGTTCGGATCGTTTTTCACCATTTGGATTACGGCTCGATCTTCTTTTATGATTGTGATTGGTCGTCGGCCACTCTTGAGGCCTCGATGAAGGTTTTGCCGACTTTTGATTGAGAAAAAATACGGCGCACTGTCCATATCGAGCAATTGAGGAGGTTGGCCACATCCTTCTCCCGCATCCCATTTTCCTGGACCATAGCGATTTGGAGCTTATCAGGTGTCGTCCAACTTCGGTAGGTCCGTGCAAAGTCAAGGCGCTGCTTAGAATTTATCAGAGGTTTACGGACAACTCTTCTTGCAGATAATCCAGCTTGATTTAATCGTCGTCTGATCGTTTCCGGCGATACAACCTTGTTAAATTGATCCCTCATCATTTGGCTTCCATCGGCTGATGTTTTGTTCGGATCGTTTTTCACCATTTGGATCACGGCTCGATCTTCTTTTATGGTTATGATTGGTCGTCGGCCACTCTTGAGGCCTCGATGAAGGTTTTTGCCGATTTTTGATTGAGAAAAAATGCGGCGCACTGTCCATATCGAGCAATTGAAGAGGTTGGCCACATCCTTCCCATTTTCCTGGGCCTTAGCGATTTGGAGCTTCTTCGGGGTGTCTAGATTTTTCATCTCAGGGATCTAAATAATATATTAGAATATAAATAATACACTTAATGTTCATAGAAGGAGAAACAAAAAGAATAATCATGAAAACGATCAATGGGGCAGTACTTTTGTGGACCACTGTATTTATTTTTGAAAATCTGCAACCTTTTTCGACTTTTATCAGCTCTTGGCTTTGGATTGTTCAATCTAAATAGTTTTTATACGAATCGACAAAGAAAGTCTTGGCGCATCTAATGAAAGTCTTGGTGCATCTAAGTTCAGCCACTGAATAACTGAAAAGTTTACTGAAAATTGCTCATTTTTTTGAGCGAATTGAGACAACCGGTTTGTTTTTTTGCTAAAAATTTGCTTCATTGTCGGCGATTGACCGAGTTTTTCGTTTTAGCAATCCCTTTTCCCCTTTTTTTCGACGAATTTAAACGAAAATAACCGCACACTCGCGCCAAAAACATTATCTACCGCAAAATTATTAAAAACTATCTCTCACTGATGAAGTTCTTGTAAGTTTTGGTTAGGATTTATCGTAATTATTCGAATAAAAGGGTATACTCGTCTATTTTTCACTCCTAAGCCAAAATCGACCGCGCAAAAAAAGTCGACCGCCCAAAAAATCGATAACGATCCGCCCACATGAATCGAAAATTTCAAAATTGGTCAAAAACTATTTTAAACGATAGTTCTTTGTCTAAAACATATAGAAAACAAATAAAACAAACAAAACAAACAAAACAAACAAAAATTCACAAAACATAAAAGTGAAAATATTTTCAAACTGAATTTCAAAAAAATCCCTATGGTCCCCCACATAAAATTTTTTTTCGAAAATTATTTTTCAATTTTTCAAAAATCAGATTTCTAATTTTACTGTGGATGGCATATTATCCCATCCTAAACCCAAATTGATCAATTCACGCGAAAAAATAATCGGAAAAATCGATTTCACGCCGATTTTTACCCTTATATTGGAACCTGAGGTTAACTGCTGGATTGCTGAGGCCTTGCGGAGTTCAAGAAATCATGAAGGTTATACTTTTGATGTTATCAGACTTGTAAATGTTTTTAGTATTTTACCTAATAAATTTAACGAAGTTGCGCTTCGCATTCACTGCAGTTGACCACGTTTTCCCCGGATCAACAATAGTATCGGGGGCAGATTTTGGTATGTTGGCCAGGGGACGACCGCAAAGACCTCTTGCCAACTGACATTGGTATGTTTTAGATAGATCTTATTCAGGGCTACATTATTATACGAATGTTAGTTGGCCAGAGGTCTTTGGGGTCGTCCGCTGAACCTCTGAAATCTATACCAAAATCTGCCCCTCCCTCCCTCCAGATATTGAAGTGCCCCCTCCTCCAGGTATCAAAAAATAGCTAAAATTCCGGGCTATTTTTTGATACCTTAGCGCGCCGTAGCATAAACCAGTGTCGAGAAAAACTCGTTCAAAGTTAGACTACGCAACACTCCGCACCGTCATTATGGGCCCACCCACATCCGCGCGAAATGGTGTTCTCTATCAGAATTTCACGTTTGAATATCCATTCGACGCAGAAAATTGTGCTGATCGAATGGTGAAGAAATTATCGAAATCCGTCTGACTCGATTTTTAAAATCGCCTTTTATCGAAAAAAACCGCACTTTTGCAATCAACTCGCTCGCCGCGACCAACTTTCGGTGGCCCGTTCTCAGCGTGGTCGAAAGGTTGCGCCCTCAAAACCGATAACTTTTGTGTGGGCATGTGCAAAGATCATTTTGATACCAAAAAATAAAATTCGATCATCTCTGCGAAGACTTGATGCCTTTTTGGTTAAATAGGCGAATCCGGGACACAGCCAAAATGCGCTTTTTTTGCTTTGTTTTAGCTCTCTAAGCATGCAAAACTAAAAATTAGTTTTTCCACCACGCTGAGAACGATCTTTGCACACGCCCACACAAAAGTTATCGGTTTTGAGGGCGCAATCTTTCTCGACCACGCTGAGAACAAGCCACCGAAGGTTGGTCGCGGCGAGCGAGTTGATTGCAAAAGTGCGGTTTTTCGATAAAAGGCGATTTTAAAAAATCGAGTCAGACGGATTTCGATAATTTCTTCACCATTCGATTCAGCACAATTTTCTGCGTCGAATGGATATTCAAACGTGAAATTCTGATCGAGAGCTGTTTTTGCCTTATTTCGCGCGGATCGTACCCCATTATGGGTCATTATGGGGTACTATTACAGTATTTACGGTAAGTGAGGTAAGGATAATTATGGTAATGCCCAATCGTAAGTCCCATTTAGCTAATAAAAGCTACAATTCTAACAGCTAATAAAAACTGTTAGATTGTAACTGTTAGACTTATAAAAATTAATTTTTAAAAAAAACTAGTAAAGCTTTTTTCTAGAATTTCAAATTTTCAATTCCTTTTCCTTTTCAGCGGCATGAATTTCGATCGTTTCCTCGATCGCTTTGATGAGAACACGGTGACGAAACTGAAAAGGCATTACTGGACGGCAAAACAGATGATTCGGAACAAAAATGGGCAAAAAGGTGAGTGAAATAAAAAAGGAGAACAAAGTCCAATAGAAAGCTTGACTCTTTGATAAAATATATTATCGTCGTCTGATCGTTTCCGGCGATACAACCTTGTTAAATTGATCCCTCATCACTTGGCTTCCATCGGTTGATGTTTTGTTCGGATCGTTTTTCACCATTTGGATCATTTTATATTAAAAATGAGCTCACTAATTGATACTTGATATGATTTTTAACAATTTCTAATTGATATACACACTTGCAAAGGCATTGATTGAAAGGCATTGAAAGGCAAAGACATTGAAAGGCAAAGACAAAGAATTTGTGCAACTTTTCAGTAGAGTTCTATTTCTTGCACTTTCCTGATCTTAGATCTGAACTTTCGTAAAGTATTGTGAAATACAAAGTGTTTTGGATTCACGTTTGCGAAATCTCACCGTTCAGTGAGACAGAAAAATCACTTTTGATGGCCATTAGCTGGGGCGGAGGGGGCTAAACTGCAGTCTCTAGCCTTAGTTTTTAAAAATTAATATACCGCATTACCCACAAAAATCAAATTCCCATATTACCGCCATTCGAAATGCTCGAAAATATTTTTGTATTTTGATATTGAATTAAGGAGGATGAGCTGTTGTTTAATATTGAATTAAGGAGGACGAGCTGTTGTTTGATATTGAATTAAGGAGGATGAGCTGTTGCTTGATATTGAATTAAGGAGGATGAGCTGTTGTTTAATATTGAATTAAGGAGGATGAGCTGTTGTTTGATATTGAATTAAGGAGGATGAGCTGTTGCTTGATATTGAATTAAGGAGGATGAGCTGTTGTTTAATATTGAATTAAGGAGGATGAGCTGTTGCTTGATATTGGATTAAGGAGGATGAGCTGTTGCTTGATATTGAATTAAGGAGGATGAGCTGTTGCTTGATATTGAATTAAGGAGGATGAGCTGTTGTTTAATATTGAATTAAGGAGGATGAGCTGTTGTTTAATATTGAATTAAGGAGGATGAGCTGTTGACAGCCTCCGACGCGGACTTGGACGCTCAGTTGTCCCTATTCAACTCGATCAAAACGACAAGCGATTTGCTGCTAGAAGCGGCTCACTACTATCACGGGTTTCTTTTGGGTGAGTTTTTGAGAAATCAAAAGACCGTATTTCTTCTAATAGAAGCGCATCGATAGGCTCATAGCGTAGTCTAAGGTGAGCTTAAAGAAACGCTCATATTTCATCACGCAGATGCTTGTTCAATTTACTTTTGGCATCAAAAAATAGTAGAGAATCAGGGCTATCTTTTGGTAGACTTGTATGGCTTTTGGCTTTTGGCTTTTGTATTTGCTTTTGCTCTTGTATAGCACTCAATTTCTAGCTCAAATTTCTCAATTTCTTCAAAACAGCGTTAAGCCGTGAATGTTTAAAGTTAGTGAAAACGGGATGAGCTTTTATTAGAAGAAATACGGTATAATTAAGATAATTAAGAATGAAAAAAAGATGCTGAAGAAACAAAAAAGAAAACAAATGCTTCTAGACGCGGCACACGCCGAGAATGGGGTCGGCAAATTTTTGAAAGATCGAGGAAAGTTGCAGAGAAGAGAAGAGACGAAAAAGGTGGGTATAATTACATTTTTTTCGAACAGACTTACAGTATTTATGTCTGAGATTTGAAAATTCGATAAACATTTGCAACTTTGCAATTTGCAACAACTTTTTGTTAGGTAATGATCGCCGTGGGCAGAGCTTTCCTCTTCGCTTCACACCAAAGAGCCGCCATTTGCAATCCGTTGTTGAGGTGGGGTTTGTTCGAAGGCTAATTGAGGGATTAAAGCTCTAAGAAATGTTAGAACTGTAATATGTGAAAGGATTTACAATACAGTAATAAAAAGAATGAATTTAGTCGTAATTTTAGCATAAACTAGTACAACTGGCAATCTAGCGAGTTTGAGAGCTTCAGGACTAAATCTTTAGCTTGTTTTTTGATTGATATAATAAAAATCTTGGGAGTGGGACAAATGCGACCTTTTTTTGCGCACCCGGACATTTGCGCACCTTTTCCGCACCTTGCCCATTAGCGCACCTTTTTCGCGTTTTAAAAAAGCTAATATTTCCATTAACCAATTTCTATTCCAAATGTTGTTTTTCTAGGTAATTTGAGGGTGTCGAATTCAAATTTTGACATAACAGAGCGTGTGGAACCAATTTAAAAGACAAAACGGCTAGATCAAATGACAGAAAATTGTTGATTTACAAATTGTCGATTTTCTCTTTGTATAACTCCGTCCGTTTGTTTCCACAAGCTCTGATATGTCAAAATTTCGATTCTACGCCCTAAAATTACCTAGAAAAATAGAAAAACAACTTTTGGAATAGAAATTGGTCAATATTAGCTTTTTAGAGCTTTTTTAAAACGCGAAAAAAAGTGCGCTAATGCGCTAAGTGCGGAAAAAAAGGTGCGCAAATGTCCGAGTGCCAAAAGGGGGCGCATTTGTCCCACTCCCAAAATCTTAACTGGTATATGTTAAAAGACACATTCAAGGCTTTCAAATGAGACGAAATAGATGAGAATTGAATAGATCAGTCCTGAAAGGCAGGAAAAATCAGACAAAGCGACACAACAACGACAACAACAACGATAACAACAACGACAGCGACAACAACGACAACAACGACAACAGCGACAACAGCGACAACAACGACAACGACAACGACAACAACGATAACAACGACAACAACGACAACAACGACAACGACAACGACAACAACGATAACAGCGACAACGACAACGATATTCAATTTTCCCGAGATTGATCCATCCAATTTAGCTCCATTTAGTATTTGAAAGCCTGAAATGTGTTCTTTTTAAAATCGAAAATCAAAAGTAAACAAATTATTGAATACAATCCTGTTGTACCTCTGCAATTGTGCCCATGCATCAATCATAATCGGCTGAAATTCATAATCGGCTACGACATATATACCAATTATTTTATATGTATTATTTCATACGTAATCGACTTTTTTTTTCCAGCAATGAACACATTACAATCCCACTATACCCTCGCAAAATAAGCGTTATTAAAATTTGCATCCATCAAAAAGTTCAATCGCGCACAGGGATCAATTGTTTTGTAGCTTTTAACATCAAAATTTTGCACGGTATAATAGAAAAGTGCCTCTGTAGTAGGTTGTAAAAGTTTAGGATACTATACGGCTATACTCCCAAGTGCATCACGGTTATATTCTCAAAATTCAACTTTTAATTCATAAACACAATCAATTGTACGCCTGGGGGAGTGGCTAAATGGAGAAATAAATAGTACAATTGTTCGACATCATTTGGAAAGCCACATAAAGCTGTTCGAAGCTGAAAGCGGAGCTTTTGCTTCGTTCAGAGTTGGAAAAACGATCTCTGAATCCTCCATCTCTATTTTTCCTCTAATAATTACCCTTTGTTTGTGTGTTTTGTTTTGTCCATCGTGATTAAGTGTTAATGCAAATTGATGGACATGGGGATAATTGGTTGGAACGACGTATAACCCTATAATATCACATTCCAATACCACTCATTCATGCTCATGCTTGTTTACTCATTCAAAAGTCCAAAATGCTTACTCATTCAGAGAGGTAGATTCAGAGAGATAGATTCAGAGAGATAGTTTATCAAGAACCAAATTCTCTTCTAGATTAAAGCTTTCTAGATTTTACGAGGAATTGTGTGTTTTCAATGAGAGAGCCATCTTCGATTGTGGGCAAACAGCTGAAGCAGCCGAGCGTTGTCAACATTACAGGGGCAGTTTGTTGTGGATGAAACAGGAAAGTGATGAGGTGAGTGGGCGATGAATGGATGTGAAACAAATAGCGAAAGTGTTTAACAATCTCAGCGTTGTCGTCTCTCAAATTGTCTCAATTAGGGTAACAATTAGAGTTTTTTTAACTTTTGAAAACTCTTCTCACATTTTCAGCTCGAGCCGACGAATCGCCGACAAATGGAGCGTTTCCGAGAAGTGCAAACGACGGTTCGATTGAATAAGGAAAGGCTGGATCGACTCAAGGAGGACACATTGCAGAAGGTAGACGAAAATTCATACTTCGGCCAGTTTACCTTATTTTAAAGGGACAGACAATGCTGATATAGTTAGTATGGCTGACTCGCTTTATGACCCACAAAACTACTAGGATTCTGAGGCCCGTATTTCCGGCGGAGCATTACTTTTCTCGTACAAAGTATTCCCGCGGAGCCGGGAAATTCCAACGAGAAGGCTTGCCGGAAGATTTCTGTGGAAAATTTCCGGAATTCGCCAAAACAGTACGTTCCACGGGAATACTCAGCAGGTTTCTCGGGGGAATTTTCTGGAAATGGAGCATATCGGGCTCTGGCCGGACCTGGCCTGCTCGGGCCTGGCCTGCCTGGACCTGGCCTGGCTGGACCTGGCCTGGCTGGACCTGGCCTGGCTGGACCTGGCCTGCTCGGGCTTAGCCTGGCCGGACTTGGCCTGCTCGGGCCTGGCCTGGCCGGATTTGGCCTGCTCGGGCCTGGCCTGGCCGGACCTGGCCTGCTCGGACCTGGCCTGCTCGGGCTTGGCCTGGCCGGATTTGGCCTGCTCGGGCCTGGCCTGGCCGGACCTGGCCTGCTCGGGCTTGGCCTGGCCGGATTTGGCCTGCTCGGGCCTGGCCTGGCCGGACCTGGCCTGCTCGGGCTTGGCCTGGCCGGATCTGGCCGGGGCTGGTCGCGCCGGGGCAGGCTTAGTCGGGCCTTAGATCTGGCCGGGGCGGACCTGGCCGAGCCTGGTCGGGCCGGGCTCTGGACCTGCCTTTTACAGAAACTTAAGCTGTTTTTATTACTTGCTAACCAGTTAGTCAGATAAACTTGACTTCTGGTTTTGCCTGACTTTCTCCAGCTTTACCTCTGACTGACTCTGGCCGAACTCGGGTCAGATCTGGAGTCCTAGAGTTTCTCATCCTAGTCCAAGTTGATCTTGAGCTGGCCTTGCCTGCCTTACTTGCTCCAGGCTTGACTCACAAGACTGCTAACCAGTTAGGCTTGACTCAACTGCCTAGACTCAGCCAGCTCTAGGCAGATCTTGACTCTGGCTTACAGGTCTAGGACTCGTAAGCCAGAGCTTGGAATATGTTATCATATTATAAATTTAAATAAATTGGCTTTATTATAAATGTACTAGTTAGCGTTAGAGTGCAAAGTACACTTTTGCAAATCCGCCGTTTTAAAACGTGAAACTTCAGGTCGAATTGCTCTCAGCGAGTCGCTCTCATCTTTTGTCGCATTTACTGGGAAGGTGGGAAAATTTCAATCAAAGATTTCCAAGTTATAAAGAGTTTTGTTAAAACTTGTTTAATTTAAAAAGATTTATGTTTCCAGATACCTTGAACTTCTAACAACTTACTATCAAAAAACGTCAACGATCTATGCGACGTTGGCGAAAAATCTCTCCGTCTACGATCACTACGATTTCGAGATTTTGACGGTAAATTGGATAATAAAGGAGATATTTTTAGATTTCTATTTTATAGAGATAGATTTCCTAAATCTTAGAACACTCAAATGTTCCTTAGGAACTCATCGAACCGTCTCGAAAAGTGGCACAAAAAATTCGACAAGAGAGCTTGGATAAAGTGAAAGAACTGGAGGAACAGGGAGAAAGCTGAGGAACAACAACAACAACCGGAGTGAGTTTGTGTGCAAATTGTTGGGTCATCAAATTGAACTTTATCCCCGCAGCTGAAGAAGCTAACTGCTTCGGCTAAGAAGAAAGAAAAGGGGCTTTTTCGGAGGCATCTAGGCAGAACTCCGTGGTGTATTGGTTAGCGTCGCTGTTACGAAACATCTCCAGACCTCGAGTTCGACTCCAGCTCCGGCTCCGACTTCGACTTCGACTCCGGCTTCGGGTTTCCTAGTTGTACTGAGTGGCTAGAAACAAAAGGAACTTTTTGAGAGGGCTGTGGAATGGCTGCGTGGTATATTGGTTAGCGTCGCTGTTACTAAACATCTCCAGACCTCGGGTTCGACCCTAACTTCAGGTTTCCTAGTTTTACTGAGTGGCTAAGAAGCAAAAGGGACTTTTTCGGATGCGTGTTCGCCCAGCTCGTGGTGTATTGGTTAGCGTCGCTGTTACGTAAAAGCCAAGCCTCTCCAGACCTCCGGTTCGACTCCGGCTTCGGGTGTCCTAGTTGTACTGAGTGGCTAGAAGCAAAAGGCACTTTTTCGGAGGGGTTTTCACACAACAACGTGGTGTATTGGCTAGCGTCGCTGTTACGAAACATCTCCGGACCTCGAGTGCAACTCCGGCTTCGGGTTTCCTAGCTATATTGAGTGGCTAGAAGCAAAAGGGACTTTTTCGAAGGGATCTTCGCACAACAACGTGGTGTATTGGTTAGCGTCGCTGTTACGTAAAAGCCAAGCCTCTCCAGACCTCCGGTTCGACTCCGGCTTCGGGTTTCCTAGCTCTATTGAGCTGAAAATCTTGGCAACGTTAGTTAGCCTGATAATGTTATATCTTCTTTCTTTTGTCTTTTGAATCTTTTGAGACTAAAGAAGATATAACATTATGAGGCTACAAAAGACGTTTTTACTCGTGTCTCAAAAGACGTTTTTGCTCGTGTTTCACGCAAGTTACTGTAAACTACGGTACTCTATAGCAATTAGCGTAAATTGTGCCCAGTTTATGGGGTTAATTAAGTAAATTAGACGAATTAAAGGATCAAAATAAGAAAGAGAAGCATTTTCAGCCTGCTACGCTTTGATGAACACGACGAGACGAGCTTACGGTATTTGTTTGGCCGAGATTCGCCCAGTGAAGAGAGATTGATTCCACAAAATGGGGTGAGTAATTGAAGAAAGAAATGTCAATTTGCATTTCAACAATTTGCATTCTAATGATTCCAGTTCGTTGAAAACAGAAAAAACTAAAGAATTTGTTGATTTTTGGGCAATTGTTGAGAGTTTAAAACTTTCGAAAACGATGATTTTTTTTCCAAGATGACTCATGCTCATTCAAGGACTTGTTAAGCGAGCTCTATACATCCGATTGGAAAGTTTTTGATAGAGAAATGTAGCCAAGATCAAAAGCTACAATCCTCTAACACTTGAGACTTTGAAATAGATTAAACACGCGAAAATTTCTTCTCCAAAAAAGTTGTCTGGATAATTTTGAGACACCCTATAATCTTAAGGCATTTTCAAAGGAAATCCGGATAATTTTGCCCAAATTTTACTTGTAAACGATGAAAAAAATAATTGTAGATTCGGTTTGGTGATGGCGAGGATCGAGCCGAGAGTCCACTGATCGGTGATCAAGATGAAGTGGGCGAAGAGGCGTTTGAAAGATTGACAATTGATCGGGTATCCTTTTCTTGTCGAGTATCAATTGATCCGGTGATCAATTATCGTTCTTTGGGCTCAAATTAGTAAACGCATCCTTTCTGGTGCACTGAATGCCGGATTTTGTTGCTGAGTTGCTTTTACGGAAAAGAATTGGCCAATTCGGTGAACAAGAAAAGGTGTGTTTATCGATTTGATGCTAAAGCTTTATGTATAAGGAAATTCAAGTTAAACGACGCAATTTCAAGTTAAACTACAGAGTGACCAAGAATTACCGCAACACACACACACAAAAAAGGCTTGGCTTTTAACCAAATATGCAACCCATCTCGAAAAGTTAACTTAAATATCTTTATTCAACATATAACAGTAACAAATTAACAATTAAATTCAAATTTGCCTCCATCGGCATTCAGACAGGCCTGCAAACGTTTGGGAAACGCGTTGACCGTTTGGGAAACCGTGGCGAGCAAATAGGCATCATCGAGGCTCATCAAAGCTCATCAAAGCTCATCAAAGCTTGGGATCCATGCTTTGATGAGCGCCTTCTTCAAACTTTCGATATTTTTATGTGGTTCTGCACATGCCCTGGCTACAAGAACACTCCAAACTGAGTAATCCAATGAGTTAAGATCGGGTGAGCTAGCTGGCCTCTCAGACTCAGACTCAGGCCACTTTTTCTTGATGATTGTGTTGACGGAGCTTCTCTTCAGACCCATTTTCTGTGCCATTCCTCGAGCCGATTGGTTAGGGTTTAATCTTGGACGATCGCGCACTTTCTTGACATTAGCCGGAGTAACCGCTGTTCGTTTTGCACCTCTTCCAGGGCGATCCGATCCCTGGATCGATCAGAAACTGTGTCCAGAGTTTCATAACGTTGAATGGTTCGAGAAACGCGGCTTCTGGGGACATTCAGGCGCTTTGAGATCTCGCTTTGAGCTTTGTGCTCGAACACGCTGCCGCTTGAGCTCAAGGATCGCTTGTCGATGTGGTGACGCGGAGACGATGTGGAGCTTTCACCATTCCTAAAAACAACCATATTAATGTATTGAAAGTTAGTAATCATACAATAAAATAAGAAAAATAAACAAAAACCATAAAAACAAGTAAGCAAAAAGTGAAATGAGGCTCATAACATAATACGACGTTGTTGCGGTAATTCTTGGTCACCCTGTACTTTCCAGGAAAACACCGCTCCCTCGCTGGCTTCTTTACCTACTTTATTCGGTGACTCGTGCGTTCCAAAATTGACTCCGCCACCAGTGTTGGATCGTGGGAAAAGCGATGATAAATCAAAAGGATTCTCGAAGAATACATTGGATCTTCTGTCGTTAAACGATGATCTATTCAATGAGTTATCGGGTATCGTATTTTCCTTAATATTAGCAGCAAAAAATGAAGCCCCGCTCACTCAGCTGACTAGGAAACTATTTCAATTTAGCGTTGAGTGAAGCTTGAGTTAAGCTACGAGACTTAGTGCATCAGATTCTACACAAAATTCTGAGCAAAATCCAGTTTTAAAATCAACTCAATGGCCCATGTAACTCGTGTAAAAACACGTTTGAAAATTTAAGGGAATTTTCGGAGCTCGATGATATAAGTCTTCTTTCGCAAATGACCAAACGACCTAGCGGATAGTGTGCTGGACTTTTCGATAGTTTAGGCTTGCATTGCAAAGACGGATTGCAAAGCTGTAGGTCGAGGGTTCGACTCATTTTGAGTTTTCCTTTTTTGAACCGCTCAAATGCCTAGTGGATAGTGTGCTGGACTTCGAAACTTTTCCTTGCGGGTCCGGATCCTCCGGCAACCAAAATTAACCAACGTTTAGAAAAAAAAGATTGAAAATCGGCTCGTTTTTTGCTCTTAGGCTTGGTTCAGGCGAAAATCGGCTCTCAATCATTTTTTCTAAGCACTTGTTAATGTTAAAAATCTGTGTGATATCTTAAAAGATCACCCATTCTCTCTACTTTAATTTGATACCAAAGCGTGCCGAAACAAACGTACTGGTGTCGAGATTCAAGCGTTTGTTTAAGAGTAAACTTAGACTACGTGATGCTCCTTTAGGGCTTCTACTAGATATTTACGATAATTTTGAAAGTTTTCTTGAAAAATCTCTTGAAAACTTTTCAGGCACAACAAGTTCAAACTATGGCCTCCTGGGAGTTCAGGGCGCTTTCCCGAATCCTTTCCAAGGAAATGTCGAACACAGCAATGTGAGTTTCTTCTTTCTTTCTTTCTTTCTTCTTCCTCCTTGTCTTTCAGGTCCAGACCAAGTCCAGACCAGGTCCAGACCAGGTTCAAACCAGGCCCAGACCAAGTCCAGACCAGGTCCAGACCAGGTTCAAACCAGGTCCAGACCAGGTTCAAACCAGGTCCAGACCAGGTTCAAACCAGGTCCAGACCAGGTCCAGACCAGGTCCAGACCAGGGCCAGATCAGGGTCAGATCAGGGTCAGAAGCCAGTTTCAGATCAGGGTCAGAAGCCAGTTTCAGACCAGGTCCAGGATCGGAAGTTAGGTCCAGGCGAGGTCCAGGGCCGGAAGCCAGTTTCAGGCAAGGTCCAGACCAGGTCCAGACCAGGTTCAAACCAGGTCCAGACAAGGTTCAGGTCCAGGACCGGAAGTTAGGTCAAGGCCAGGTCCAGGTCTAGGATTGGAAGCCAGCTCCAGGCCAGGTCCAGGTCCAGACCCAGGCCAGGTCAAGCCTTGGTTCTGGCATCTAGCGGCTCAGGGGCAAGCCTAGAGTAAACTAAGGCAGGCAAGAAGCTAGACCAGGACCTAGGCGAATAAATTGCTTCTAGAAAAGCTCGAATTATGAGCAGGGTTGTTCCTAGATCCAATTTATCAACCCAGTCAGCTGAAGCCTTTCATACGACACTTGAAATAACTTTTAAGACTTTTTTTTATCTGATTTAGTCAAATCTGGTCAGATTTGATCTGGTTTGACTTTTTGGAGCAACTCTTTTTTTAAAATAAATATCTAAAGCTATCCCTAAGCATCTAAAGCTCAATTTGGCAACATTTTCACTAAAGCTGTTCATTTTTTAATTGTCAATAGGTGTACAACGAAAAACAAGATTTGACTACTTCAATGGCGACTTTTTCAGGATTTCTTGTTACAAGAAGGTAGAATCTTCTAAGCTCTATATTTTGCTTTAAAAACCTCTTGAAAAAAAGCCATTAAAGTAGCAAAATCTTGTTTTCCGCTGTACACCAAATGATAATCGATTAAAAATCAATTAACAATCGATTAACAATCAGCAAATCAGCAAATCAGCAAAACATCTCTCTAATCTCAAATCATCTCATCATCTCATCATCACTGGTTTGAACCTGGTCTGGACCTTGCCTGAAACTGACTTCCGGCCCTGGACCTCGCCTGGACCTAACTTCCGATCCTGGACCTGGTCTGGACCTGGTCTGAAATTGGCTTCTGACCCTGGACCTCGCCTGGACCTAACTTCCGATCCTGGACCTGGTCTGGACCTGGTCTGAAACTGGCTTCTGACCCTGGTCTGAAACTGGCTTCTGACCCTGGACCTCGCCTGGACCTAACTTCCGATCCTGGACCTGGTCTGGACTTGGTCTGGACTTGGTCTGGACAATGAACATCTCTAAACTCGACTCTAATCTTTCCAGGAATGGGAATCGCTTCTCTCACAATGCGACTCGCAAAATGTCAATGATCTGATCTAAAGTTTGATCTAAAGTTTATTCCAGAAGTGTTTTCTAAGCTTTTTGTCATTTTTTTTTGATTTCTCTTGTTTGATTTCCCTTGATTTCACTTGTCTCTATTGGTTTTTTTCATTTTAATCCTTTTTTTTGTTTCAACTCACTTCTCTTGAGGGAAATTTGCATAATCACTAGCAAAGCATTGTATTTATGAAATAAAAATGGTATATAAATAAGATTCTTTTCGAAAAACACTGATTTTCAAAAGCCGTTATGGTAAATCGGTTTTTAAAGCTTTTAAGCCTTTTCGTTTCTTTGACAATCACATAAGTTCGCCATTTTTGCTCTTTATAGTGTCTATGTCTATTTTAAAGTACACAAAACACTTTTAAAATCGGAAATTCTTACGCAAACCGCCCACCAAAAATCCCATTGCAAATTCTGGAGTTTTTCCGTAAGAATTCCAAGTCATTGTTCTGCAAAAACATCAAAAGAAACTAGAGAAAACAAAAGAAGAAAAGAAACGTTTTTGAAACCAAGATACAGCAAGAATTTCAGGTAGATCCTACTCGAATAAATTGGGAGATTAGCAGCAAAATTTAGGACCAAAACAATGGAACTCAAACGAGACAGAAGCCAGCTGGGGAATCATTTCTAACAGAACTACTGGGGAAACTACTGGGGAATCATTTCCTAACATTTTTGCAAAATGCAGAAACGAATTCTCGTATTATTGGCTTTATAGAAAACGATAAAACTTTTAAAAAACCAAAAATTTGCATTGAAACAACTCGGACCCTCGTGATCCAAAAGGGCGTATGTCCGGCAGACGCGCACACTACACCACTACACCATCGAGGCCGTTGACTGAAGACACTACGTCGCTCTCATAAAGAGACGTATGCCAAATAACCCCAAATATCTTGCGATGAGAAGCATTTGGCAAACTGTGTTCAGATTCTGAATCAACGTGAAAAGCTGCATCAGATAGGCTAAAGCTGATTCAAAAGCTGACTAGGTTTGTGCTCATAGAATGGGCGAAAAGAGAGTAAAAGAAGGGTTGCCTTATAGAGGCAGAGGACTCGAACCTTCGAGATCCAAAGAGCATACGCCCAGCAGACGCGCACACTAACCACTACGCCACCGAGGCTGTTGATTGAAGACAGTGCGTCGCCCTCATAAAGAGACCCCAAAAACTTGTATGCCAAATATCTCGCAATAGAGAAGCGTTTGGCAAAAACTGATTGCAGATTCGGAATCAACGTGAAAAGCTGCATCAAGATAGGCTACTTCCCGAGTCAAAAGCCTAAGTCAAAAGTCCCCGTTGACTGCATAAAGAGAAAGAGATACAAAAGTGCAAAAAAATCCAAAAAAAGAGATGCATTTTTAAGCATAAAACACTGTTTTTTGTCTAGAAGGTTTCGAATTTGATTTGAACTTTGAATTCGAATAATTTCCGAGATTCAAGCGCTTTTTACTTGAGTAAATTCCCATGATTTTAGAGAAAATAATAAATTTGAGCAAAGAAAAATTGAAACGTTTTCCCCATTGTACCAACAGCAATAAACTCTTTTTATTAAGAAAAGAAAATCCTTTTGTTGTTGTTGAGTTTCTCTTCGATTGTTGTTTGATCTCATTTCGTGAATAAGTGCCCGCACATCAGCGCGGAATAAGGCAAAAATGCGTTTTCTATAGGATTTTCCTGGGGAGTACCTTTTTTTAGATGCGGAAAATTGTGCTGATTCGAATCGGGAGGAATTTTTCAAATCCCTCTGACAGAAATTTTAAAATTTAGTTTTACCGGTTTTTTGGTCATTTTGTATGGAAAATTTTGTGGTACCCTGCAGTTTGGAGCTCGTAACTCGACAACACGCGTCTAGAACTAAAAACGAAGGGATAATTTTTATTCTCGAGACTCTTACGAACATTTTGATGTCAAAATCATCAAATTTGCTCAACTCTACTGAAAGAAGTTATAAGATCTTTAAGGGAAATTTTCCAAAATACACTAAAAACATAAGAGGAAACCGTGGCCGAGTGGTCTAAGGCGCGCGACGCACGCTCGATTACACCCTATGTGGAAATTTTTTTCTTTAAATCAAAAAAATCCGAACACTACAAATTTTAAGTTAGGCCCCATAAAGTGAACGGGAAAAATAAAATATTCCGAAACCGTCTATCCAAAATTTCAGAATTAAAGGCGGCGACTTTGATGTTAGTGAAATTTCATATTTTTTTTTATTTTATTTATCAAATTCATTTATCAAATTCATTTCCCGTTAGAGCCGCTAAGATTATGGAACTTGCTCCCCAAACGACATACGAAATTCAGTCGCTTTTCATATTCAAGAAACGTATCGATGCTTTAGATCTAGTGGCTCTTTGCCGTAAGTAATTGGCTTATTGATTTCAGTATGTATTGTATGATTAAGTATCACTGTGCATTTCTCTATGATTTCTTTCACTTTATCGTTTGAATAAAGGTATTCATTATTATTATTATAATAAAATCCTTGGTCCTTAGAGGCGAAGAAAAGATCAGCCTCGGTTTTGACATCTTCTTCTTCGGGAATTGAACCGTTTATTGGCCAGAATTATATGGCCAAAAGTTAGACAAGAGACAAAAATAAATAATAATCAGATGGAGGAAGGTCCTGGACTATAAGGTGGATATGGTAAAACCTCCCCATCCAACACTCTGGATTTTTGTCGGGAGTCTGTAAAGAGACATGTGGTCGCGCGTTATCGTAGAGCAACAGGACACTTTCCTGTTACCCCAATGATGCGCGTCTCTCGAGTGAGTTTTGTTCGGACTGCATCAATCTCGGCACAATAGACATTCGGGAATTAATCGTTTGGCCACGTGGTAAAAGATAGTCTATGTGCATAGTACCACGTCCACCAAACTGTCATTAAAATTTTTTGGGCATTGTCCCAGCAGGTTTACCCACGTTCCACCCACTGTCCAGACCTTCTAGAATTATCGTAATCAACCCATTTTTTCATCACAAGTATCACTGTGCATTTCTCTACTTGATTTCTTTCCTTTATCGTTTTGAATAAGAGTATTATTATTATTTCATCGAATCATAGGAAGTGTTATATGTCATTCAATAGCTCTTTTCACGCTCTTTCAAGGAATACTGAATTGAGTTTTTGTGGAATTCTATTTTCCCCTGAAATTTTTTGTGCCATATTCGGCCGAAAGTCAAAATAATTTTTTTCACGAAAATCTAGCTGAAAAACTCGCGACGTCAATCCCACACAAAAGGATAGGGTTGTTGGTTCCGGGCTCCTTACCAGGCCTATTTATTTTGCATATTCCTTCATTGTTTTTGAGTGAATACGGCACATGGCTCGTTGTTCTTTTTGAATTTTGTGGTACCCTGCAGTTTTGGGGCTCGTAACTCGACAATCAGGGGCTATACGGGCATGCCCTTCTTTGTTCAATGCTCACTGTAAACACACCCTTTCTAGTGTACTAGATTCTTCCTTTCTTGTGGTAGCACGCCTGAAAAAGAGGATTGGTTGCTCTAGAAAGGATGCGTTTTCGGATGAATCTGAATACTACGGTTGATGTTAAAGACACGGTTTTCAGTCCATTTCTTTGTACCTTCTTTTGGTGGATTTACTTTGCATTTCTACTGTATTTCTTAGGATCCTTAGGATTCTTAGGATTCTTAGGATTGTTCGCTCAACTATAGTAGCCATAGGATGCATGAGAACCTATCGTAAGTACTCTGCTACGAGTCCCTTTAGGTGCATGCGTAGTCTAAGTTTACTCTCAAACAAACACTCATATCTCGTCATCAGTACGTTTGTTTCGGCACTCTTTGGTATCAAATTAAAGTAGAGAGAATGGGTGATCTTTTAAGATATAACACATATTTTTAGCATTAACCAGAGCCTAGAAAAAAGTGATTGAAAAATGATGAAAAATCGGCTTTTTTTGTGACTTTTTGCCGTAATCCTGTCTTTATTTCTATCCAATCGATCCACTTTTTTGTATCTTTCGATATCCTTTATGACCCTACACAGAATCTGTCTAAAATAAAGAGATTAGATCGAAAAAAATGAGGCAACATTACGGTAGTTTGACGAAAGAGACACATTTTTGGGAAATCGATAGTGAAGAGATTAAATAAGAGTTTTAATTTAAACCTATTCGTCCTTTGTGCTCTTCTATAAATGCATCCTTTCTAGTGCACTAACACTAAGAGTTTTTAAAGCTTAGGAAACGGATCTTTTACCCAATCTTTACCCAAACTTTTACCCAATCTTTTCCATTTGTTCAAAGCTAGGTTGAAAGCTAGATTCATAGCTAGATTCAAAGCTAGATTCATAGCTAGATTCATAGCTAGATTCAAAGCTAGATTCATAGCTAGATTCAAAGCTAGATTCAAAGCTAGATTCATAGCTAGATTCCAAGCTAGAAGCTCTTCAGCATCAATTGCATCAATTGCTCGTGAGTGAGTCGAACCCTCGACCTACAGCTTTCCCGTCCGACACGTTATCCGCTACGCTACATAACCATTTCTTTGCCGCGCGCTTAAACGTTATAAGAGACCCTAAAAACTTGTTTGCCAAACTCCTTGCGATTCCGTCTATTTCGCAAAAACGGACTTTATTTCACTTTAAGTTTTCCTTTTTGGAACCGCTATTTGAACGACAGTAGATTCGGAATCAGCGTCAAATTGTGCATCGGATGGTCTAGTTCTCATAGCTCATTAGTTCTCGATTAGCCCCCTAGATTTCGTGACTTGAAACTGACTATGAAAGCTCTTCAGCAAAAACAAGGAGGGTTTTCTTTTCATTTGCCCCACTTTTCAATACCAATAATTTCAATACCAATAATTTCACGAAGTCAATTTGAAACAACGAATGGAAATGAGTGGTTTTAAGTGGAAAAAAGAGAAAATGGGGGCACAAATCGGGCCTTTTCCCCTTCTTTTTTTCTCTCTTTTTCCCCACCTTTTCTCGTAGTCAGGAGCAAAATTGATGGGAAAACAAAAAGAAAAGAA